ATAACAGCAAGTAAAAATGCAGAATTTCGCTGGATGTCAACTTAAGAAGGAAGAGCTGCGCAGGCGGGAGCAGGTTTTGCTGCAGGTACTCATCTTTGGAAATGTGGTTGTTGTGATTACTTTTTTCCCCTTGTGTGGAGAAAAATCAAACCCATGATGCGCATATCACGCGTTGTGTTTTGTGGCACAGAAATAGCGTGCTGTGTTGTCTTTCAAGCCAGCTCAAATCAGGCTGTGTGGCACTGAAATCGCTGCAAGAAACTTCTTGCTAAAAATAAACTGAGATCCTTTCATTTTAAGTGTGTTCACTTCAGCAGTCGGTTTCGATTTTGGAGATTCCGGGCGGACTCCTGAGGGAAAGGCACTTGTGGGTTTGGTGATGTTGATGGAACACGGGATTCCAGAGCCTTACTGCGGAGTTTTATTTGTCTTTTGATGGTGGTTTCTTTTTTGTGAAACGTGCTCATCTAATGCCTTGATGTTCGTACCTAAAGCCAGCTTAAGTATCTGCAATTTCCTGAAGAACACTCGTTACTGTAAATTGTATTTTGTTGTAAATTTTATTGCTAATTCCTTTTTTTTTTTTTTTTGCTGTAAACATGAATTTCTGTTACAGACACTTAGTTCTTTTATTTCATATCTCTGATATGCATTTTATCAGTCATCTTTGTTCCTTCTTAGTAGCTCTTGTTCTGCTGGGGTCAGGATGACTGCGCTTACGTGTGTCAGAGTTGCTGGTCCACGACAGGGAGCCTGTTACTCAGGTGGCCCTTCTGCCCATCTCGGTGAGGAGATGATTGCTTTGATGGTGATGCTGTAATCATGGTTGTGCTCATGCCTACGTTACTCCTTTGCAGAGTCTCTGCCGTTTCAAGAACCAGTGTGTGTTACTTTGTGTTACATCGATAGCGAGGTTACAGAGCTTTGCAAATTTTCAAGAGCTGATAAGCATTAGGTACAGTTTGTTATCCAAAGTAAACAGCTAGTTAGCATATAGCAGAGAGCTTCTACAGAAGACAAAAATAGACCAGAAAGGGAGTGTATCCCCTCAGCTGGCTTTAGTTGTTACGCTGTGAGTGTTGCCTGCCTGTATTCATTCCTCCAGTACTCATTTTGGGATGATACACAGGATCTGTTCTCTAGACTCCTTTGCATTTATACATTCATTATCTTTAAAGGGCTCCTGCTAGACTGCAGCAACTGTTTCCCAACTTCAGAAGCTTACGTGCAGCAGTACTAAGTGATGCACTGCTGACAACAGCAGTCTTCACTATCCTTCAGCAGTTTCAGCTGTAATTTAATTTCCTCAGGCAGCAAGCGATGCCTTCAGGGAAGATGGACTCCTTCAGCAGCACCATTCTTGGATGTTTCTCCTCCAGCTCTAGTGAGAGATGGTGCCTTCCCTGGCACTCCCGTGAGGAGGCAAGTGTGCTGCTTCCCAGGGACATAGGAGAGAACCTGTTTCTCTCTGGCCACTGAGCCCCTATTTCTGCCTGCAGCTGGGCAGGAGGATTGAGCACCAGGATTACTCAGCCCCGCACGCTTTGTATTGCAGTCGGTTCCCTTAGTACTACTTCTATCGACCAGCAGCATCTCCTGTAAGGTCAGAGGGTAAAATACCTGAGCTGCTCTGAGCCGAGAACTCAAACTCCCTCCTGGCACAGAAGGTGACTTAATGTTTGTTGGGGTTTTTTTGATTGTTTGTTTTCTTTTGTGTTTTTGTTTGTTTGTTTGTTTGAAGACCTCTTGCACAGCTTGGTCTCTGAATGTTGGGGTTGCCCTGGATCACTACAGACCCTATGAAACACGTATCAGTCAGCACCTGAGAACTCTCTTTCCTGTAAAGAAAGCACTCCTGGATCTGCTTTACTGGCTCAGGCAAGTTCCCTGCTGTAGTCTTGCTCTACCAGTGGGATGGATTACCCATGCACGTAAGGCTGAAGTAGGAGATTTGTACTCCTGACAAAGGAAAAGCAATGATGGGACTTGGCATTTAGAAGGAAAGCTGTTACAAGGAGAGGCAGGTATCTTAAATATACATTGACAAATGAGGACTAAAATATGGTGATTTATTGCCAAACCTACTTGGCAGCCTCTTTCCAGTTTGGGCTTGTTGGTTATCAGACACTTGTGAACATGAAATGAAATAACATACAATTGACTTTAACAATTCTTAGCTAGTTGATTCCAGGAAGGATTTCTCGGCTTTGTTGTTGGAGCTGCTGCAAACGCTGCGGGTGAGCTGGTTAAACACGAGCAGTGACTGTGTTTGCATCTGACAGCACGTTTGGTTATCGTCCCGGGCATGTGGAGAACAGCACCAGCAGCAGCAGCTCAGCATTTCCCTGTGCAGGGACTGGATCCGTTTCCAGGTGATCCCCATGTGAGGGTGCTCGACTTGGTCTTGTGGGGCTCCAACCTCTGCAGTCCTTGGTGAAATGAGCCAAAGATCTGAAAGCCCCAACTGTCCCTGGAGCTCTGAAACAGTTACACTGGGCCTGCTGTAGTTTCAGGCATCCTGTGATTAACTCCTTTAGACAAAACAGGGACACTGAAGCGTTTTCAGATCTGGACAAGTGTAGACACATAGAGGAGATCATGTACCAAGCCTGTAGCTGCCAGGAGCGATGCTCATGAAAGTGATCTCAGCAGCGCTCCCATTTCCTGCCTGCCAGCAGCGCGCGTCTGAGATACTGGTGCCACAGCAAGCACCGGGTAAACAGGACGGTTGTTTCTGCTGGATGATCTTAAAGCCCTCCTAACTGTCTGCTGAAAATACTTTTTCATTGCAAGGAAATGACTGTTTTGTTTATGTAAGGGTCAGGAATGGGAAATGACGTGAACACTTAACTCTTTTTCCTGGTGTTTTTAAGAGGATGGATGTTCGCTGTTTCAGGTCTTATTTCCAAAGGTCAGTGTTTTCCATAACCCTATTAAGTAAATACTAGAGGTGTGTGAATGCATACATATACATATACATATACATATACATATACATATACATATACATATACATATACATATACATCAGAAAATGACATAAATCTTGCACATCCACCTGGTAAAGTGTTACCAGTGTCATCCTGTGTCCATGCTGTAACAGGATTTGACACATTCCCTCTCAGTGCAAAACTCAAAACTGTCCCCAGGTCGTTTTCCCGACACTGGAATACATCTTTGATTATACAGTGTGCTGTAATCGCCCTGCAGTAGAAAGAAGTCAGAATTCACATTTGTTGTGCTTATTTTGCCCAAGCACCAGTTTTATCTCCATCTGCTGAGTTACACTGAGCATTTAATCTTTTTTTAATCTGTCTATTGCTCCTTGCCCTTGAAAAAAGAAACAGTCGTGTTTTAGTCTTTTTAGTTGCTGATAACTTTTTGTTACTGATTTCTTCAGTCAAGGTGTTTTTCTAAACCAACCACTTCTCTTTTCAAGCTCCTCAGAGCAGAACACTGGCAATCTAGGTCTCTGCTGTCCTGTAATTCTCGCATCTCGAGGCTTGTGCCCGCCCTGTCCCGCAGCACTACGGGCTGCAGCTGTCAGGGCTTGGTTGTAGTGATTCTCTGTGCCTACACGTGGGAGTTCTCTCACCTGTACTTCTGCAAGTGCCTGGCAAAACACTGTCCTGGCCCATGACTGGATAGGAGAGGAAGAAAAGGTGGGCTTTTTTAATTAGCTTTAGCACAATAAAATGTGTATCTTAATATGTAACAGCCAGGCTAATGACCACATGGCAGTTTTATCTCCTTAACTACTGTTCAACTCCCTTGCCTTTTCTCAAGAAGCAGCAGGTTAAACCACCTCGGGAAAATCACAATCCACAGCGTAGGTACTAGGAGTAACAGTGAAGCTACACGACCACAGCTCCACAGCACCAGGAAAACACTGTGACCCAAACACAACCTGGGTGTTTGGAGACGAGCGCAGTGCCCGCAGCGCACGCCCTGGAACACAGCCTTCTCACACCAGGTAGTGACTTGGTGGGGTTTTGTTAGCGATGGTTAATTTTTGACTTTTCTCTATCATCTGACACTGATAGATGACGCAGTCTCAGTTCTTCTGAGAATCAGACTGACGTAACATTTTATTGCCCTTTAAAGACTTATTTGTATTATATATAAGAAAAAAATGTACAGTGATTGACAGCTTGAATTCAACTTTTTGTTGTTGTTTACTGCCTAGTTTCTTTGTATTTCCATGCATAAGCAGAAGAGTGACCCATAACAGGCAGGGGGAAAAGAAGGTTTAATTTCCAAAATGGTTTTTATACAGATCAGAGCATATGATATAGATTTCTTATAAACAAAGATTTGCATGTATGATCAAATGCAGTTATAGCAGCCCTTCCACAGAAATGTTTTTAAACTTAACACCTCGACAACGAAATGTCAAATGAAGGGAAATACTCATGATAGGAAACACCATAAATGTTCACCTTGAACATAAACCTGGAAATTGAGCAGGGGTTTCTGATACAAAAGAAATCCTTCGCCTTAGCTGTGGGAGGGGGAAGGGAGGGTGTAGAGGAAGGCCTTTGTTGCTGTACTTAGTTTGGTTTCTAGAACAGAAAAGATGGTGATTTTTATATTAGTGTGCAGTGTGAGTTCAACCTCCATTAATGCCGCACTTAGGCCGGCTATTGCATGCAGCCCTAAGAAAGGACAGGAGCTGATTACAGAACTTATTTATTGTCTACAGCTGTGATACAAAAATGGCCATTGCAGAAATTCTTTCCCCAGGTAAGAAAACGAGCACTCAACGATGTATCGGTAACGGTGACATAAGGAATCTGAGAATTACTTCTTCACCTAAAATACATGGTTTATCCTGTAGTTTCACTGAGGGAGCTTTTCATTTTCTTCCACAATTAGTTGTGACTCTCAGCCTTGTGGTATGTATACACAAGTGTTACGTACCAGCCTCAGCACGTACAACCATAAACCAAACGAACGTTTTACATAAGACAGTTCGCTTTTATAGTGATCACGCACTGATGTGAACATAGACTAAAAATAACAAATGTTGCTTTAATAAGGATTTTTTACAGTAGGTGTAGATATAAAAGTTTTTCAAATTTCACAGGTATCACTGAACATTTCATAGCTGTCTGTTACAGAAGCACCGAAAAGTGCTTTGAGTCTTTCATTTATTATACATAGTTAAAATATATTACACTTCTGAAGGTATCTTAAATCACTGAACAGTTTTGCTAGCATCTTAATGAGCCAAATGGGAGTAAAAGGCAGTCCACATTCATGATGTGAATTGAATATACAGTAAGGTGGTTTTTTGTCATTGCTCATGTTCTCAAAACAACCATGGTGATGAGACCTGAAAGACAAGAATTAAGAACTAAATGCTTTAATTTCACTGAATAAAAAAAACACTTAAAATGAAGAGAGTTTACCCTGACATAGGCCAGAAAATAAGGGAAAAGTGTGTAAACACATGCAGAATGAATTTATATGTCCACTTTTCTTAAATATTAGAAGCACTGCTCCAAATGCTGATGCAGTCAAAAACTTTAAAAAAAAAGGACACTGAAGTGCAGCATATCTAGTAAGTAAGTGTCAAAGAGGCTATAAATATTCCACAGAATTATTGATCTCGCTACTGAAAACTCTTAACATTGAGATTTTTTACTTAAGTGTAACACCAGCACACCAGAAAACAGTTTTCACGGGGGCTAGTTATGGGCAGCATAATTCAAATGCTGACTCATCACGAAGGCAGATTAGCTGAAGGCTCCGAGACGTTTTTGTTTCTGCTCTGCGTAGAGTAACTGATCAAAGATTAGTTTTTGACAAGGACATTAGGCTTCCTTGTGAGTCTGCGTAGGGAGCCTTCTACAGACTCTTTGCTGTGACCTTAAAAGAGGGAGTAAAAAAACCCCACTGCTCCAACAGAGGTTAAAAACAGTTGAAAGCAGGAAATGTGGGGCTAATAAGCCTACTTACGACACATGTGCTGAAATCTGCAAGTTTTTAGTCATGAGTTATACTGCACAAACCAAAGAGGCATATGGAAAAACATGAAGGCTCCTTGAATTCCAACCTTACGTAACCTCCAAATAGTAATTTATCAGTTCTTAGGCAATCTTAGTTTCTTGCAGGCTCAGGTGACATTAACAGAACAGCCTTTCCCTGCAGAGAGCTTAGCTGCAGCCTAGAGATCTCACCCCAGGTGAAGAAATTTCTGAGACTATTTTATTATCCTGCCACCACACACCGATTTAACTTACTTACTTCATGAAGGCAGGAGCACCAAAGCAAGAGTTGTAACACTGCCTCCCAGTCGATAAGCAATTTATCCAGTAAAGAGGAATTACAGTTCAGCTATTTCTTAAGGTCTGTATTATCTTAGGCAATTGGTACTACCACAACCACTGCAGGCCTTAACTTAGATTATCTAAATCACCACAGAGCAGTACCAGAGGCTTCTGGCAGGTGCTATAGGACAGCCTCCACCACCTGCAGAGGGACTTCCAGGCAATAAAGGCTGTAACTCAGTTCTGTCAAGCAAAAACCTCTCAAATCTCGCACAGCCCTGCTGATGTGGTACTAACCTCCCTTCTCAATTAAACACTACACAAGGCAGCTGTACGTTGCCAGGGAAGAAAGTGGTTTCATCTTTTCAAGAGCAATCAACTTCCTATGCGAGCAAGACTTGTGTGCAGAAGAATCTTTCTGAGAACGCTAAAAACGCTGCTACCAAAGGAATCAAAACCTGTAAGAACTTCACAGAGGTACTGCAAACAGGTTAAGCTGTTGCACATGTATGGAGTCAAATGGTTTAATACCACAGCTGGTGCCAGCAGAAACTGGAGTAGTTTTTCAAAACTAGAGACAAAAATGAAAGCAAGCATTACTGCAAGGTCCTGATACGAAAACACATCATCAACGGCTCGGGCAGAGAGCAACAAATGAGTTTTCAAACCATTTCCGCAGACGGACTTGCATGAGTCGGTCACCTGAGCGTGTGCATTAACCACCAAGAACTTGCATCTTTTCCCATCACTACCTCACCTCTAGCTATCAGTCTGAAGCTGCCTAGCTCGTTTCCTTTAAATCCTCATTTCTGCCAGGTAGTGGGACAGGAGAATTGAGTTTAGTGTGACTGTTCTTCAAATCTGAAATAGTTATAGAAAAATAGTCATGAAATGTGCAACTTAACTACGCTTGCTAATTTAGGAGCAAGTTACAGATCGGGAAGAGCTACAGACAGTAGTGGTCTCTTAAGGGTTTAAAACAATTTACTTCTACACATTTCAACTGCTTATCAAGGAGGCAGTGGCCGGAGCCTTTCACACCCCCTCATCTGGGTTGAAGAGAGTAAAAATGTAACAGGAGAGATTAGGTTTGGTAGTAGAATAACTCTATTTCAAAATAAGAATATGAAACTGCACATTCCATTCACTTTTGTTAGCAGACGACTACAGTTGGCCAGTCGTCAAATGAAGGTAAAATTAACATGTAGGGGCCTGTATATCATAAATATCAACTAAAACCTGGTCTAAAAATACTCACAATAACTAACTTACCCTGATGTCATTATGGCTGCAAGTTAAAATGTAAGTGGAGATGCAAAACAAAATGTAATGTTGTGCTTTGTCTCCATCAAGTTTCCTGAAGCCACTGACAAACACAGGAGAAGGTTCCCAAATCATGGAAGTTGCAAGAAAATATTTACAAAATCCAAAATACTTACCTAAAACATAAGCAGCTACTAACTTCTGATTCACACTTAAATGGAGGTAGAGAGGCACCAGGGATTCCATTTCCCCCAATGTAGGTAGCATTAGTGCTGCAATACACACTATTCCTAGGAAGACTGTTAGTAAACTAGGTCCCGACGAAGATCTGTTTTCTGAAAAACAAGACAGAACCAATTGTAAGGAACATTTAACCAACAGAAACGTTAAACATTCCAAAAAAACTGCTGGCAGTACATGGGAGCTGCAATATCCTGACATTTTCTTTCCCTTTGGGGTTTGGAGAGGATGGAAAACAACTCTTAAACCCACCCTTCTCAACTGTCTGTATTTTGCAGTGGAGAAGGCTGCTCCCTGTTCTGATGCTGGATCTTGTTTTCACACGACTTCCCAAACCCCTCCCTTCTGTAGGAGCAGAGCCCGCCAGGCCCAGTAGCTATATATACACACTCCTGACAGCTGGATGTTTCAGCAACGCTTGAGGTTTCACCATGCAGCCTGACTCCGTTCCTTGAGAAGCTCCTTCAGTGATTAGTGATCAATTAGCAACGTCCAAGAGCTGCGCAGGCAGGTAACTGCTTACGCCTCCAGAACAAAACCTGGCTACGGCAGGAGCACAGGTTCTTAGGCCAGATGACTTCCCCTTCTTTCTTTAGAAAATTCCAGGGCTGCACCTGCCAGAAGCAGTTTATATGCCTCACGTTAGTAATATTTGAATCCTGCTTTAAAAACTGTGAGCGTGAAGCACTCTGACCGTCCAGTATCACCAGAATAAGGAAACATAAACTATAGATGAAGCCAGTTCTTACTCCCAGTTGAACTGCTGGAGCCTGACCAAAGGCACACTGTGTAAACTTTGAAAGGAGCTGTTAACACGTTAGCTCAGCACCTCTACCGAAATTCTCAAGACCCCCTGGAAATTAGCCGATATTTTTATCAAGTTTTTCTATCCTCAGTGGCTAAAAGACATGCCCTACTTTAATTCCATGTATCTGGTGTTTCTAGGTTGCAAAGACTGTAGTTGCTTCATTTAATGTTTCACTGTAAGCAAGCAATATAATGCAGTCAGCAAGGCTCTGAGGCAGAAGTAGCATTTGGATTAAGGCAAGTATCAGACTGTTCAGGATGGTTCAAACCCTCCGTACCAAAAGAACTATCATAGTAATGTTTGTTCTGTGAGCCCAGAGATCTTTGTAGGCTTGCTTTAACCATATATCCTACTAATACCTATCTTGAGGGTTTGGGTTTGTTGTTTTGTGGGGTTTTTTTGAGTAAAAGGTGTTTCATCAGCCAACAAACTACATATAGGTAGTGAAATGGTTCTTTTAAGAAGAACATGCTCAGGCAGATTCATATATTTTCTGGAATTAGTTTTTGTTTTTGTCGTAAACGATAAAACAGTGACAAGAATACTACAGTATAAATCAGTAAAAGTAACAAGAAGGTCGATGTCAAGAATCGGTTTCAATTTGGTTCCAGTAAAACCTGATACTCTTCATACCTTCCCCTACCACTTCAACTGAACTGTTACAGTCCAGGTTTCACCCCAGACTGTTGATTTGTATCCTTCCATATGAAATATGCAGAGTTTTCAGCTGGCAACTGTGTTTTTCTGTACTTGTGAGACAGACAAAGGAGATCGCGCAGAACAAGGAGCACTTTAAAAGATGTTTTGGCAATATTTCCCGCTCATCAGGAAATGGAGGATTAAGGGTTTGGAACAAACTCAGAAGGGGCATATGTTCTGAAAGAGCCCAAGAGAAAAAAATCACTACCCTCCTTTTGCCGATGAGTTCCCACTGGCTGTAACAGAACTCCTGCACCAGGGTAACAGAGAATGAACTCTCCAGGGTCCGACATTGAAACGTGGGGCAGCAAAGGGTCTTGATATATCAAGAGAGCATAAGCAGTTTGGGTTCTTTGGCACTATCATCCCCCAATGGTAACGACAGCAGTCTTACAGGTAAGTATAAGGAACTACTTAAAAATTTATTTTAGTCTTTCTAGTCCCTTGAGCTAGTTATAATTGACTCCGGAGGGGTAAAAGATTTCATCTACCTGGTTGACACAAAGTCTGCTCAAAGAAGACACTTTCAGCCAGGTGTTCTTTTATTCGTTTCTCCTCCTCTTCCTTTTGTTGCTGTTGTTCCTTTGCAGATGGAAGCAGAGTAGCAATAATCTCCTTTTTCCCTAATGCTTTCCTCTGGCTCTGCTCAGACACTTGTAGACGGAATTTATCTATCACACCATAGTAAGAAGCTCGAACATCTCTGTGACGAATCACACTGCAGAGGAAAACAACATTTTCAAACAGAAGAACTAAGAAGAAGTACGTCTCCTGTGGAATCACATCCTGCATCTCAATGTTTCCCCTCCTTCCCCCTCACCCACTGACACACGGCAATAGTCCAGATCCCCATAACCGACTCCATCGCTCAGCATTCTTGAAGGTTTGATCTTGCCTTCTCTCTCCTCTCCTGTGTGGTCAGGTTCCCAAATATACATACTCCAACTGGGTGGCCAAAAAGAACAGCTAATTCTTTATCTCAAGCACACCTGTGCCCCCATCTGAGGCCTAGCTGCCAATCTGCACAAACCATCAGTTATCCGACAGATGCCTCCTCCTTTATCACAGGTATTTGGTGCTGGCCACTGATTTTACGAGGTGTGGGAGGGCTGCAGTGGGTAGGGAAGGAAAGAATAAAAGCACTGCCAAACACTTGGGCAGGTGATGGCTGAAGTCTAGCTTTTTGAGGAAGCCAGGATCAAAGCTTTACAATTATACTTTCTCAGAAGCAAAACTAATTCCCTCCGCAGACAGGAGCCAGCTAGATGTAAAGGGTTTTTCAACATCAGAAGCCCACCATTAAGAGCATGTAACAGTGCAGTAAAAACCACAGTAGCTACATACCTACATTAACATTTCTCACCTGTGAGTAAATGCAGGTACCAGTAGCAGAGCTCTGTGCTGTCAGAGCTCTGTGCTGTCAGAGCTCTGCGCATCCATCTGGCTACCCTGAGCACGTTTCAGAGCCTGCACTGAAATGCACGGCGCTGCAGCTCCTTCACTAGCTACTAAGAGCTAGCCTGGGTGTAGCTACACCAGCTGCAATCACAACTCAGATATTCTCTAAGTCACAATATTCTCTAAACACATCTCAGATATTCTCTAAAATAAAGCCAGAGAGTCAGTTATTTTCTTGGTAAACCTTCTCACTGTTCAACAACTGCTCCCTGTTGCTCCACCATTCTGAATACATTGACCAAAATGGCTTCAACAGTAAAACGAGGTGATACACGTTGCATTCCTTCTAGTTTTATGGCATTTTGTGGGGAAAAAAATGGTATGTGGGACCAACAAAAGGCACAATTTTAAAATAACGATGATTAAAGGTGATACAGATGTCTGAGCAGTACTCTGCTCAACTGCCTCCTCTCTGTAGTTTCATTATGAAAATACGTATCTTAGCGTTAAAAACCTAACATTTCTGTTTTAAGTTCTATCAGCTCTCAGGGTGAACATGGACTTCAGCTATTTTTTCCAAAGAGAAGAACTTGTGTTGTGAAAAGCTCTTTTAAATCTTTAAGGTAACAACAGCTAATTGAAAAAATACCTACATATAAGTGATCTGGCTTCAAGAAAGTTGCCAGCTCCCAAGGGGAAAAAAATTATTCTACCTTTAGCAACATGGGACAGTAGTCTTAAAATTGCTTCAAGAAATCTATCTTTGTGATAATACATACATTAAAACACTGCAAGAAACAGATTTTTGTGTTTCAGCCTTCATTTAAAGGAACTGTGTCACATAAAGACATCAACAATCACTAAGACACAGCCAGTGCTTGTAACTGGTATCTAGTTTGAATAGACTATTCAACAAGGAAACAGAGACCAAGTCATCCCCGAAGCGAGAGCGCTGCAGAAATGTACGTAATTTTACGTCACTTTCGAGGCAAAAGAGTGTGCTTATGACAGGCTTTCAGCAAGCTGAGTGCTGGCTGGGCAACTGCCCTCACTAAAACAAAAGATTTTTCCCCCCTCGACAATCCTAATTCCTAAAAGTCCCAGCAAATCAGAACAGCAGACTCAACTCTTGATTTCTTCCTTTAACACTTCCTTTAAAATTTCTATCCTCAGTACCACTGTACTCACAACCAACCTCAACAGAATCTTTACATAACACTGTGCTATGAGCACACGCATCTGCTGCCAAGCAAAGAGATGTTTTCTGCAGACCCTTATAAACAGATACATTCTCCTGTTGCTTTTTAGAGACCATTGCATAATTGGAAGCTCTGCAGAATATCTGTTTATCTGGCAAATGGCCACACTTGCATAGTACTGCTCATAACCTAGCGGTAAACGCTGCCCTTAGACAGCGACCATTGGAATGGGATGAGGGGGCTGCTGCACACAACATTCCCTTGGAAACATACGTATGTCTTATTTTCCTTTATTTACTAAAGGACATTTGTTTAAGATTAACCAAATGTAATCAAGCTTGTGTAAATGTCTGCTCAAGACTGGAACAGCTCACTGATACACTGGCATACTCTGACTTGTTTTGTTCCGTTTTTAGGACTGGTGCCCCTGCCTCCTGAAACTTTTTAGTTCTAAGTTTTAAATTTCTGTTTGGTGAGTCCTTGGAATTTTCCAAATTACACACAGGTAGAACAGTCTGCAGGAAAGAACCATTCCCCAAACACAGTATTATTTATCTGACAAAAGACGGATCACTCGATAGTGGAGTTTTTTGTATATGGCCATTTCATAGCCAGAGATTCCAGAAGGTGTTTTACAGTTTGTGAATTTCTGTTCAGAAAGATCAGTCTGCTCTTTTAGGTCCCTCATGCTTTCTTCAGCCGTATCTGTACATCAGCACAGAAATAATGTGGCAAACAGAAGATGAAAAACGCTGGTCTATTTTAGTTCATACACCTACTCTACTTTGAATTATATCAGCCTACAGACCCTATGCATTATTGTGGTCACTTAACGAAGCCTTCTTATTTCCTCTGTTACTGGGTTGGAATGTGACAGGAGAAAGGGGAGATGGAGAGTTCTGAGAACAAGAGAGGTGGTCGGGGTGAAAGGTGGGCAAAAGTACTTTTACTAAACAAGGCCCAGGAAAGCGTGAGCAGTGGAGCTGTGCATATTTTCATTTTGCCAATCTGCAAATAAATATTTCTCACATAGAAATCCCAACCCTGGAAGTCTTGATTTTCTTACTATTGCTAACTAAACGTACTCAGAGGAGGCACATACTACTCTGCTGATTTACACACTATACTAAAGGAGGCATTTTGTTTACTAGCATTTTGTTTATGCCAAAAGACAAAACTGAAGAAGGAAATACCTCCAATATTGTAATACCTCTGCTCTAGAGTGAAGGAATAGCAAAGACCAGGTGGCCACAGGAGAAGAGGAGATTAGGAAAATATTGTATCTTTATCCAACTTAGTTTATACCGTGCATGCTGTGATTTACTACCTCTTAAATAATAAAAGAAATTAAAACAATAAAATGTCGTATGTTGGGGGAAAAAAACCAAACAAAGAAATTACTTCTACTTACATATCAATACAGCACTGAGGCTTCACTGCACCAGTAGCATCAACCACCGCATATTTATTTGGAGTTGTACAAAGAACTGCAATGAAAAGGACAGGAGCGGTAACGAATCCTGAATCTCACAACTTCATCAACAGATACACGTAAAGACACAAGCTTGGTTTTGCCAGAAATATGATTTGTTACATGAATTATAACTGGACTGTTCAAGATCACCAACTAACCCTTAAATAGAACTTAACCTAGGAAACCCACCTTTGAATTTTAAGGCAAACTCATAGGGGTTATATAGAGTCAACACCTGCTTGTGTGTTGACTGGTCATCTGCATAAAATATAAGTTCTGTAGGAAAAACAAAAACAGGAAGATTTCCTTCCACTAACTCTGGCTGTCTTTTTTGTTGCTGCATTGGCACTGAATCCTCCTTGCTGCTTCTTGTGTTCTTATGATTCTGTATCCTCAGAGACTTCAGTTTTTGAATCGTTTAAGAATTCCAAAGCATTTTGGCAATTCTAAAGGAAAAAAAAAGGGGAGAAAAAAGAGAAAAGCAAGAAGATTATTTCCATAAGTCTATACTGAACTGAGGCAGTCAACAAAGGCATAAAAATATAGATGCTTGGTTATGAATCTACCTTTATTTAAGTTCTACCAAAAATATGGAGATAGAAAAAATATTTGCATTGGGTTTCCATCTATTTAATGAGCTGCTAGGAAATAAATGGATAACCACTTCTTCAGTGTATCATGGCAGCATTTTGAGGTCCCAGTCCAGGACCAGAGTTGCTTATGCTGGGTCTTTGCAACACCAGCCAACCAAAAACAGCAGCAAAAAGATATCCCATCCTTGCCTCAGGCCACTATCACTTGAGAAAATACAGTGCAGAAATGAGGAAACACAAAGACGTCAGGCAGCAGTAGTCACCATTCAGGCAGGAATCTCCTTGCAGTGGTGACTTCCCAGATGACCTATAACAACCGAGGCATCTGCTCACACAGGCGCTGAGGTATGTCAAATCCCAGAGATTCAGGACTAAAGAATGGAGAACATCCTCATGCCTTGTCTAAACTGAATTGCTGTTACAATTGCACAGCACTTACAGGCAATGAATTGAAAAATAAGTGGGATGAATAATACCAAACAGATGTGGGATTTACTATTTGATTAAAAAACAAGACAGGTTTTCTACCACCACTGTCTCTAACCAAAGTATAACCATCGTAACTCTCCCTCTGCCACTCCCACAGTTTTGTTTTGAGTGACATTCCAGAACTAAAACCAGAACCCATGACCCGACCAAGCAACAACCCCAAATATAATTCATAAAATAAAAAATTAAGGCCAGACTCCTCAGCACACATACCACTGACTTTACGCACTACAGATAGAACAAAGTGAAACGGCTACATATATATTTTTCCCCAAGAACGTCATATTTTACTCTAGCTCCTACAGGTTAATTACCAAACTGAAGGTGTCCTTTGAGGCTTAGCTCTACTGTATAGCAGAGAGTATTGAAAGAACAAAAAGTTCCTACTGACTTACTAGCTGCCATTTCCACTTCCAATGAAGTTTTATAAAACAAGGTCCACTTCAGCTTTCTCCAGTCTAATAAAGTGATTTGGTTGCACCTTGAGAAATTTAGTTTCTGAATTTTCTAGCAAGGAGCAGCCCTAGCCTTATAAACAATCAACACCAAATGCTTATTTTTGCATTCTAAACATCCTGATGTTCACATTTCAAAGCACCAGATGCATGTTTCATACTTGAAACATGACACAAGTTTAAGTGTTTGTTGGAGTATATCTCTCGTACCTTCAGATTTACAGGTTCTGATTCTTACTCACAAATGAAACTTTTAAATGTATTTATTTAAATAGCAAATCGTCCCTGCAGAATTTAAATTCATGGCTCTAACTGGAATGTCCTTCCCAAGATCCAGTTTCTTTTCAGAGCACAGGTTTGTTTCCACTTCACTGAAATGCTACTAATAATATTCTGAAAACAAATCCCCAATGATAGTGTTCCAAGTTGATGTTCTGCTGCCTTATTAAGAAGAGTCTAGGAAAGGAAATAGCTCTGTAAGTGACCATTTGGGTTCACCTTGCTTCTTAGAATTTTGGCAAATCCCTTTTGTTTCAGAAGAATTAACAAACTCTGGAATCACTCTGAGCAGCAAGTGTAAGCATTATTTCTGGAACAACTTTATGTACTATTAGAATGTGAGATTCATTGTTCTATTTAAATATATTAAGGCTACATGAAAAGCTAATGTGGGAAAACCACCAGCTTGTAGGAATACAAAATAACTTCTTTTGAAACTTCTCATATGTGGAAGATTAAGGAAGTTATTTATTTAACAAAAGTTAGCTCAATGCAGTAAGCATATGTGAGAATCTCTGGTCTCATACATATCTATACCCCACATATTATGTGTAACAGAAATATAGGCAATCTGAAATTAACAACTTTTTTTTCCTAATAAGTGTTTTAAATTACCACATGACCAATAGCAAACTACAGCTATATATATTTTCATTACTATATTTAATGTTTTATTTATAGTTAATATTATTTGAATGCTTTGTTTTTTATCTAAATGCTGCACATGTTTCATTCTGATTCTTGGTGTTGTACCACAGCTCCAGTTTCTCCAGGTCAGCCAGCAGCAACTGTTTAGGTGATCAAAACCCCACAAATCACATCTGTGGAGGCATGGGATCGCCAAGTCTCATTTTTCTTACACATCTGTTGAAGAAATAGCATGCAAACCTCCCAGAATTCCACAATATGCAGGTAGAAAGCCACCAATCTCAAAAAAAAAAAAGTGTATCCCATTGCTGCTTCCTTGTCTTATTTACTTGGCTGGATAAGAAGTTACTGCTCAAAGTGGCAAAAGTAAAATCCGGCAAACCCAAGCCTACAGTAGACAGGTCTGTTGACACAGGTTATAAATTTCTGAACAAGAAACCAGCATCCTTTAATCATTTTGGCCTAGAAGTTGCCTCGCTTGGATATCTCACCAAGCGACACCAGCAAAAGCACTTCTCCCAAGGACTGCATCATAAACCACACAGTTTGATGGCTCAGTACTAACAGCAGCACGTGTTTCATGCAGGAGTTGCTGACAAGAAACTGTGCAGACCGTCTGTATCACCAGAGCTTCTCTGCACAGATTAACCTGAAAGCAGCACTCGTGTTCAGAACAGGGCCCTGCAGTCAGCTGCCCTCGGCACCCCGGGCACTTCACTGACACCCAACCTGCCTGCTGCTCTCCGACACCGCGCACCACAGCGCGGCAGATTCGTACCACGATCGCTCATTTTGTAGCCAAGAGGCACCACAACTACTCACAGAACACACAGGTGAGCGCAAACCAACCTGTTCGAAACCAAGATCTGTGGTCTCGATTCTGCGGCCGCTGCGCAGATGGGCTTCGCCTGGTACCTGCAGGTGCAGGTAGTGCCAGCGTGCTCTCCAACGCTCTTTGAAGTCCAGACAAACAATTGTCAGTGGTGATTTTTTAGTACAATAAGGATCTTTCCTCCCTGAAGTTACTAAATATATACTGATGGTGTCACAATAGCACAGATCTGCCAGTGTTTCCTTTGAAACCTCTTTCTTCATAAATTTAACTCAAGAGAGAAAAACACAAAGCGAAATGTACCTTCTCTCTAGGGTCAGAAATAACACTGATCATGATTTGGTTTTACTTAACAAGTATCTGCTGAAAAAACAAATCAAGTGAGGAAGTTTTTTGTTCCCATTTTAACTGCCAACAGTCTTATCACCATGGCTTCCGAGTACATTTGTTGGTTGTTTTTTTTCCCAACAACTGCAAATAATTCTACAGAATGTCATCTGGTGAACATTTTATTCAGAAGATAACCTCTTTACAGTCACAGTCTCCACATTCTCCTTTTAAAAATTCTCTAATTACAGCGTAATCTATTTTTGTTATGTCTCATGATCTACCCTCTAAATCTACACAATAAGCCCTTCTAAGCTAAATACTCAATAAAATTGATGCCTTTTGAGTGCATATTTACAAAATAAGCCACAAAGTCCTCTTCAAAATTCCCTTCTATGTCAAGCTGAGCAATTACTGTAAGCTACATGCAAATACAGCTTATGATCTGAAGGAGATATATTAACATTTTGTTTCTCCGAGTTTTTGAAGGCCTTAACGTACACTTACGCAAACCAATGTTTAAACTACCTGCAATTATTTGGGAGAGTCATCTGATGATTAGAGCACAGACCCAGCAGCCAGGATGGCTGGATTCCATTATTGCTAGCTCTGTCACTGACACTCCATGACCTTGAGCAAGTTGGTTAACCTCACCTCAATTTGCTAATCTATGAAGGTACACATTCTGCAAAGTATTTAAGGAGGCGGACAGTCACATTTAAACTGGCAGAACGACTCCGGTACTTTGCAAAGCCTGGGCTGAAACATGCTACTGTTTACCTCTTTACAGGGTGACGAGAAATGTAATTAGTAACTGTCTCCAGGATGCTGCAAAATGAAATCGTCTCAGAGCATTACCTATTAGCATGGATGACTACAACATGAATAAATCATGCTGATACTGACAGCAGAATTTATTAGGACCACATTATGTTTTTCCTTTATTTTTCCAACTACAAGAGGTGCCTAACAAAAACCAAAATATTCAAATACAAGTAAGAGCCATGCATAAGCAGGAAAAAAAAACCCCAAACAGCAGCTGTGCGCTGCTTCTGATCCATTCTATTACACGTATGGTATGGAAGACTTTCAAGGGCACGTCTGCTCCGGTCTCTGTTCTCTCACTTTCAGGCTGTGTGTGTGTTGTGCTCCTCAGGGGCCTTTTTCCCGTCTCGGGGACGGTTCAAACACTCGGCTCAAACGCCGAGATGCCACAGGACAACGAGGAAAACACCCTTCCCCCAGAGAAGGACGGCAAGAAAGGCAGCTCGATCTGACTCTCAAAGCGAAACCCACAGCAGCAGTAACTGCCCGCACTGAACTGATCCGCTTTGTTCTCCCAAGACAAGCGGCAGAGATAAAGGCCGAGGAGGCATCTGCGCTCTAACGGCCTCTCTCCCCGGCCCGCGCCCTGCCCTCAGCCCTATCGCGGCCGGC